GGCCAGCAACTATCCAAACCAATATGCACTTGCGCTTGTCACCGTGCATGAAAACAAGGTGTAAGGTGTGTCCGCTATCTGGGCGAGTTTTGGATGCACTTGTTTTGCTTCAGTAGCTCATGGAAATTGATTGGCTCGTTGCACGTTGATGTCGTAGATCTTGTCTCATGCTGATTGCATTGCGGCTGCTGCGAATCAAGGAAAAGGCCTAGAAGAAATACCAGGAAAAGGCCTAGACCTTGTGTGAACTCGGCCCGATTTTGATCGTTTTGCATTGCAGCGCTAGACCACAGTAAAACATGCATGGCTTGCGGTGTGTCGACATGGCGTTGAATCATGGATTTTTATAGCTTACACAGCCAGATTGACTTGCTTTTGGCTTGCCTTCCTGACATTTTGCATCTTCCCGCTTGTTTTTCCAGCTTCGTAGGTCCAACTTCTTTGCCCTGCGCGCGGGCGCCCGTTCTCTCATGGCGCTCCAGAAGATTATGGCGCATGTGTCCGCAGTCAATGAGTTGCTTGGTGGAGCTCTTGCGTCCTCTCAAGCCTTTGAGAGCGTGCGCAAGGCACATTGCGCTGCACTTGCTACATCGCTGGCTTCTCACAGCTGGTGTCCGGAGGATGCGTCGGTTGCCTCGACAAAGCTAGCTTCCAGCTCCTTCTCGGACGCTGACAAAGCCTCACTTTGCAAGGTGGTGGCGGACGGGCTCGCGCAGAGTGTGCAACAGCCAACCAAGAAGAAGCAGCTCCAACATCTCAAGGATTTTGGGCCCTTCCTGAAGGCTTCCGACGTGGAATTCTTGAGCGGGCCTTCAGCTTTGCGCTTGAAGATTGCGAGGGCAGCCGATGTGGCCTATTCCATCGGCCTGGTGTGCCCGAGCGAGCCGTCTACGGGCAACATCTTGAGCACGCTCATTGGGCTGGGAGCTGAGGAGCTGCAAGAGCCCAATGCCTTTCTTGCATCCAAGCGGGAGTTCAAGTGTGAGCTTAAAGCGCGGCTCAAGCGTGGAGATCCGCCAGTTCACCTGACTGCATTCCCGGCTGTACCTGCGGAGCTGCCAGATGTCTTGTACCAGAGCACCTACGCCACGGAGAAGCCTGCCGGCCAGTCCACGGGCATCGCCATTGGCAAGGGGCCGCTGCGTAAGACCAACAAGCTGGTGACACCAAGCAATGCGAACTCCGCCCTGCAGGGGCCTTTGCAGAGCTTGAACCTCTTGCTGGCTGCGCTGCAGGCGCAGCAAGGGCAGCAACCGACGCAGCCCACCATCACCTTGCTGGGTCGCCAGCAGCGGCCACAGATGGCGCTGCAGGACCACCAGGGATCCAGCAGTGCTGGCAGTGCTTCGGCCACTACAGTCACGCCGCCTTCTGGCAGCACCTTGAATGCGCAGACCTTGACAGCTAGCCCGCCTCCGACTTCTCCAGCAAGCACCTCTCCGTCTCCCACTGTTTCAGCTCCGCCCTTGGCAGGCCCCACGGATAGTCCTGGTGCTGGTGGCCCAGGCGCCGTGTCTCCAATGGACCCAGAGAAGCAAGCGCTGCAAATGCTGCACGCGTGGGAACTTCGCGACAATGAGAAGCGCGGCGCCGAGAAGACCAGCAAGCCGATGAAGTGGCCGGCTGCGCGCATGGAGGCTGATGACGAGCATGGCAGTGCGCAAGCCAAGGCCAAGGCCAAGGCCAAGGCCAAGGCAGCTGCGAAGGCCAATGTCAAGCCAGCCTCGAGTCTTGAAAAGGCTCGCGCAAAGTACAGGGCCATGAGTAGGAAGGAAATCCTCAAGCTGCGGCCAAACGGCTGTGGCAAATGCCGCTGGCAGCCACCGTGCTGCCCAAGCTGTTTCGTACAGAGATAGCCCGTTGTAAGATTTCCTCGGGGGTACTTGCAATGCAGTCTTGCATTGGAAGGCGTGGGGTCACATGATGGTGCGTAGTGCGTGGCATCCACAGGTATGACATGCGATGTTGGCTCGAGTTTTTTGCTTAGCACTGTTTGGCATCAAACAGCATGTGCTTCTGACACTTCCAGGTTTTGCACTGTGCGCCACGACATGCACGGTTGGGCCATTTCCCATCTCGCACGTAGACTTGTTTGCAAGGGGCGCAAGAAAGCCCGGCGCAGAGCGCTTCTGCCGCCTGCCGATTTCTTTTGTCTCACTAGAAGCAGTTGTGGCGCCCGCGCTGTGTACCTCCAGCATTTTGATGGACACAAACATGTCTACGATATACCCACACAACATTTGTGCATAGGTGCGCGTGTGAGGCGTTTGCGTGCAAACATGTACACTGCAGATGATGCAGAAATCCATTGACACAAGAGCCGCCATGCAAATTGCATTTTGTCTTTCACGGCTGTCTGGGTACCACCATCAGTGGCTAGTTTGCACCGACAACTTTGTTGAGTTCCTTTCAATGTTCTTTGTGCTTTTCCTTTTGGTTTTCACGAGGCTGTGTAGCTGCTAGGCTTCCTGGCAGGGCATGCAGCTCGCCAGGAAGGCCGCACTTCATGCGTCCATGATCTTGCCATGACCGATGCGCGGCAGGCGGCCTTGCTATGCCAGCTCGGCCGCAAATCCTATGTGTCGCAGCGTGGCCTGTCCTCAGTGCTGAGAGCCATCAAGGACAGCGGCGAGGTGCCCGATGTGACGTCGAGATCATCCATCAAACGCGCTCGGGAAGCTGCTCTGGCTGATACCGCTACGCAGTTTGGCCCCTTAATGCGCGCAATGGATATTTCTCTGGCCGTGCCTGGCAAGGCAGTGTCGATCAAGTACGTCGACCCAGTGTGCCTGCTGTGCCATGTTTTGGAGTGTAGACCTGGCATGGCTGCCCTTTTTCAAGAACGCATGGATGCAGCGCCGCCTAGTTTCCAGAGTCCGTGGCACCTCGTCGTCTATTGCGACGAGGTCGCGCCTGGAAATCAGCTTCGCCATCAGAACAACAGGAAGCTGCAGACCATCTACTGGTCTTTCCGCGAGCTGGGTCAGAGGGCCTTATCCTGTGAAAATTGTTGGTTCGTGCTCACAGCCTTGAAGTCGTCAACAGTTGCCTCGATGGGCGGGATGTCCATACTTTGGGCAAGCTTGCTTCCCGTATTCTTCGGCGCGCCGGGGCTGGGCACTGGCGTGTTTCTGAATCCACAGGGCAACCCGCGCATGCTGTTTGCCGAGTTGGCATGCTTCGTCTGTGAGAGCAGTAATTTGGCGTGTTTTTCTGAAGGCTTGGTGTCCTCTTTGGAAATCAACACGGATCGCTTTGTGCTGCATACAGATCAGTCCGCTCATCGGACGGCTCAGCACCTGCAAGAGCAACGACATATTTTGGGAAAGGTGGCTTTTGAAAGGCTGCAGACAGCCCTTGGCTACAACCACATTCCTGGAGGCTTGCTTCTCAGTCCACTTTTTGGCCCCAAGCTTCTGAGCGCTGTCATGTTTGACTACCTTCACGTCTATCTTGTCCACGGAATTGCAAACACTGAGTGTGGGCTGTTACTCGGAGTTTTAGCCAAATCAGACTGGCCCACAGGGCAAGTCAACAAGTTCCTCAACTCCTTCGAGTGGCCTGCACAGTTCAGGGGTGCCAAGCCTGTCAACATTTTTTCGAAGCGGGAATCCAGAAGCGAGCCAGCAAAGTGCTCTGCTTCAGAGCTCCTCAACATCTTGCCGCTGTTACGCGTGTACATTTTGCTCTTTGTCGCGCCGAAAGCGGTGGGAGAGGTGCAGAAAGCATGCCGGTCCTTCTTGCTACTTTGCACGGTGATGGACTTCCTATGCAAGATAGGCCGCGGGGAGCCAGTGAGCAGCAATGACCTGGCCAAGGCCATCCACGAACATTCCAGCGCATTTTTGGACACATGGGGGAACGAGCACTGGGTTCCCAAGAACCACATGGCCTTGCATTTGCCTTTGTTTTTGGAAAGGCATGGCACGTTGCATTCGTGCTTTGTACACGAGCGCAAGCATAAGCTCCTGAAGCGCTTTGCAAACCAATTGACAGACACTAGCAAAGCCTTTGAAACCAGCTTGCTCAGTGATGTCCTGCACACGCAGTTGCTAGCGCTGGATGACCCTGCAGAGTTGCCACTTGCAAGGCCATGTATTCTGGTGAAGCCTCGTGCTGCGTCCAAATCGCTCCAGCGCTTGCTACTGGAGCTTGGGTTCCAAGATCCAGTCACAACAGCGAGCGAGGTAGCCATGCAAACTGGGTTTCGTGTGCGGGCGCGAGACGTGGTGCAAGTCCATGTGGATGGGGCACTGCGTGTGGCGGAGGTTTGCTGGCACGCGCAATCAGGCCAGCGCTTGTTGACGTGTCTAAATCCATGGGCGCACATTTCAAACTTCATGCACAAAGTGTGTGATGATCCCGTGCTGGTGGAGAGCCACACCATTGTTAGCTTGTGCGTTTGGTCCCGCAAAGGGACGGATGCTATCGTCGCGCCGAGGTAAAATAAGCACTTTCCATGCACGGTTTGCCTGCGAGCGAGCATGACAATGCCCTGCCCGCGGCGCGAGTCGGTCAACACTTACCATGTACAATTTGCTTGCGAGTGAGCGTCGCACTGCCCTGCCCCTGGCACTTGAGGGACGAACGTGTCAGCCTGACCATTGATAACTTCTTGCCACAAACAGTCTACCGCAGATACATAACTATCTTTGTTCAGTTGGGTAACTGACGCAAAACCTGTTAGCTATCTGGTGCAACTGCACCCCGCTAACCTTGCTAAGCCTGCCATAAGTTTGGCAACTGAAAAGCAACCAACGCAAACAAATAGTAAGCACCACGAGCCTCCAAGTAGTCCAGTTGCTGGATATTGGAACGCCTTGTCCCCTTTTGGCGTAGAAGACTTTTTGGGCTCCCGAGTTGAAACCAGGCCAGCACCGAGCTGCTGTGGCAAGCCGTCCTTTTGTCAAATGAGTGTCTGCTCTGGGGGTAACAATTTATCCGCTTTGATTAAAAGCGAAATCAAAGGGACCTGGGAGGGGTTCCAATTGAAGCACCGCTCACCGGTAAATATGTCCTTTCAAGGTACGCAGTTCTTGTAGCAGAAGCCTCTGCTTGCCCAGACCCATGTCTACCTCACGCAAACCAAAAGCAGCAGGCACACTTGATCGACCTTCCGATTCCGCACAATGACGCAATGAGTCGTCGACCGACAAACAAGCTCAGCAAGCCCGGGACCGACATTGGGTAGGGAGCACCTTGCTATCCCCAACTGACAGGAGTCAAGGTGCAAATTTGGCGAAAGGTGTCTTGCAAATGTCATGTGGGCCCTCCAAATACCCTGATAAACTTGGTCTTAGATGCCGGTCGCACTTGTGAGAAGGACCTGTATGGGTTCAATCTCTCTCAAAGCTATGATTTGATATCTCAGCCCATGAAATAGACAGCCGTCCTGAAACACCAATGCCCCCACCAAAACCCAAATCCCAGGCGGCAACCTGGTGCTTAGGCACCGGAATCACTCATAAAAAAGGGGGGGGGGGTGAAGGGGGTGTCCATAGGAAGCGTTTTGTGTATGGACGAAATCCTGCACATTCCAGCACCAAACCAAGAAACCCTGGAATGAATCGATTCCCCTTTTGATACCAACTACCAGTGGTTCCCTATAAACCCTGGAACGATGATTCCCTTATGCCAACCACACAATGGCTTCAACCCCATCCGCGCGGCACGCCCGCGCCATGCGCCGCGGGCCTCGGAGGCATCCTCAGGCAGTTCCACCAGCGCCGCCAAGCGGGAGAAGCGGAAGCGGCTGCTTTGACTGGGCGTTAGGGAAGCGCCTGGACTCACCCTGAGGACTTGGAATGTATAAATCTAGGAGTAGCTTCCATGTCCATTATTTTCAGGGATCCGAATCTTTCTAGAAAACCTCCGGAAACCCAGAAAAAAACGGCCGGTTTTTGGAAAGAACGATGGTGGAAAAGAATGGGGAATCAACCCCTAGAACAAAGGGTTAAGCACTCGCGGCCACGGAGTAAAAATGGACCAACATGGGAGCATAACAAGTGGCCTTGGGCAAATGAATAAGAGGTGTGGATGTGATATGCCCTCACCTTTGGATTGAAGCCAGTGCTAAAAACCGGTGGAGAGAAGTTGCGACATCTTGATGGGCGGAGGCGAGGCCCGACGAGTGCTCAAAACACTCGGCCAGGGGATCCCTTTCGGACCAAACAGAAGAAAAGGCAAAAGGGAGCCAAGCATTCCTTGGGCAAAAAACCCAATCTCACGGACGTAGAATTCGTGCTTTTCCTTTCAGAAACCCCCCCCGACGGCCGCGCGCTGCAATCAAGGCGCGACACTTTGAAGCTTTTCCCCAGCGAGGACCGGCCCAGGTGGATGTGCTCCGGGGGCCTGGCCATTCATGGGCTTGGGTGCTTTCTGGATCTTGCTGGTTTTACCGTTTGCCGGCCCCAACGGTTTGAAGGCCTGCAACTTCTTTCCCCACCACGTTCCAAAGAAAACAAAGGGCGAAAACTCGTCTGGTCAAAAACCCAAACCAGGGGGCTGAAGCATGAGGCAGCCAGCCACACAGTTAGAAGCAGACCTTGAAGGATGCCACCAGCGACCTTAAACCTGAGCCAAACACGTCCAAGCTTTTCCTCCATTCAAATTATAACCCGACAAGTGGCTCAGTCCAGAGCCCTTTTGATGCGAGAATAATTCCATCCGTGGCTTCCTTTAAGGGGAGCCCAGGTAATCCCCAAAGCCACAAAAACTCCTGAGAACCAGCAAAACAAAAACATGATGATCATTGGCCCCGAACACTTGGCGGAGAAGTCAAAGTCAAACCCTGCTTGGGTGTTCGTTCTAGTGCTAGTTTGTCAGTTGTTAGTCACCTTGTCTTTGTTCAGGGGACCCCAAACTGGTGGTTTTGCTCTTGGCTCTCCTTTCAAACCACAAAACACACAAAAACAGAAAAACACATGTGCCCTCAACAAAACGATTGACCCCTTCTACTGGCCCCTTCCCCGTCTGCAACGGGTTGGATCACCACCTCCCTCCCTCCCTCCCATCCCTGCCACCGACTGAGCCGCCTGTCCAGCATCACTGGCGCCAGCAGATCCTCCGCCGTGAGCGCGTTGATCCTCTTCTTCGCCTCTCGGAGCTGCACTTCCACCTTCCGACGGACAATTCTCCGGAGATAGGTCGCCCGAAGCTTTGCGGTGGTCAGCTTTTTGTGGACTTGTCAGGGGTCATTACCCCCCCACCACTTAACATGGAGCCTGACAGGGCGGGGGGTCCTGAAAGATTATGTTGCCTGGTTTTGGGGCTTCTCATAGGCAACTGGCGCAAGGATTCCGCGAAGCGCCCCCGCCTCGCGGCGCACGTCTGCGAGCTCGCGCCCGGCGAGGCCCACGAGGGGCGAGCGCAGCGGTTCTGAGCGCCACAGCGCCTGCCGCACTGCGTCCCCCACCTGGGCTCACGGCGCCGGGGGGCTTGGGGGGTTGGAGGGCTTGGTGTTGTTTGGGGCAGTTTGGGGGGCGGTTGCGGCAGGGGTTAGAGAATTAGGAGACTTCACATCTGTCCAAGTTGGAGTCAGAATCCTGTGGGGCACGAAGTGCCCTTAGCATAACGGGAATGTAAGCTCCATGAACTCAATACCCTCTGCAAGCAGTTGATTCCTTGTGGGTTCAGTCTTGGTTTCGAAATTATGTTTAGGTGGTGTGGGTAAAACAAACGGCAAAATGCGAGAGGGGTTAAAATAGGGAACAGCCAATGTCATGTAAGCTTCACTTGAGGTTTGCTTGGCCAGTCCAGTCACAGCTAGGGCACCATCTCTGCCCAGGTAGCACACGACAGTGAGACGTTGATGGAGATGCTTTCGCCTTCCTTGCGGGCAACGCATTATCTCAATCAATGTCGCCACTTGAGGCGTTCAAGAGTTGTTGTGGGGGTTTAGAATGAACTATCCAGAGTGTGTACTTGGCACGCTTGGCGAAGGAATCAAGTTCGATGCCAGCTGACTCAAATTGTCCGGGCGGCTCCAGCGCTCTCCACTTGGTGCCAAACTCCGGCTGGGTGATATAGCACATCCCCAGCATGGATTTCGACCACCTCCGCGTCTTGAAAGAACTCATCCGGCGGCTTGAAGTCCGGCATGGATGGATCCTTCAGGTTTCAATTTCATTCTGCCCCTTTTTTGTTCAGGGTTGAACAAATCAAGTCTAAACATCTAAACGGGCTACACCTCAAGTCTAAACACCCCGCCGCCTACATTCGGGCTCCGCACCTGGCGCAAACATTGGGTTTGCCTGCCATACCCTCCTGCCACAGGGTGCACACGGAACTTTTGCGGGTTGCGGGGAAGGATGCCTTTGGGGGCAAGTCTGTCCCCCCTTTTCACTCACAATGTTGGCGAGGGGGAGAAATCTTCCGTATGGTGGACACTTAGGGTCTATTTTGCCACCTCCTTCTTTTGGGGTATTGGTGCTTTTTGTGTTTTTTTTTGGGGGGGTATGGTTGCAAAATAGGCTCAAGGAGTCCATGACACGGGGGTCTTCCTTCCCCTTGCATTTGGGGGACCACACGTCTCGCGGCCATGTCTCGCTGATCGCGTGGAGCTTCATCTGCTGCTCAAAGTTGGACCTTGTCCTGGAAGCTGCCCGGACATGGAGCTGAGCGTCTCCCCTCCTAGTTCGTCTTTGCTTCAAATGTAAAACCGTCCCAAAGTGTGGCCTGAAAAACACAAGGTCGCACTTGCGGGGCCGCCGGGGCCCACCCAAACATGAAACAAAGGAATTGAGAAGCGCCAAGTACTCCCATCGCGACTTCCAAACGCTGGTGATGTGTACCTGCTGCATTTGCGGAGGGCCCTTTCTCGGAGAAATGAATCCCCCGCCTCCAACAGAACTGGATATCAGGATGCCTGCAAGATCACAGCATTTCAACCAGGGAGGCCTTGATTTGGTTTGGAGGGCGCAGGGCCGGACGCAAACTGGGCGCCCCACTGGAAGTGCGGCGTCAAGGCGCGCACATTATTCCTCACCGGGCCCGGCTTGAAGCGCCATCGCTTGGCGCCCCTGGCGAGCGATGTGCGACATCCCTCTGCGCCCCGTGGGAACCTCAGCGAGCTCTGTACTTTAACTGCACGCCCGCAAAGGCTTCCTCACAAAGCAGCCAGTTGGGTGGGGCACTTTCAAAGGTACAGTCCTTGCGTTCAAAGCTACAGAGTCCTTGTGTCACTGTGGTGTGCGAGACGTTTGCCGCTCTAAGCTGACATGGGCAGGCGACCATCAAACCAAGGAAGATCAGACAGGAAAGAAGAAACAACAAGAGAAAAAAAACAAGGGCACCCCGCCGAGACGTCATAGCCAGTCTCGAACTTCGCAGCTGCCCCCCTTTGAGGGTGACCAGACAAGGGTCCAATTGCTGCTGTCCGTGCTGACCCGTGTTTTGCTTCAGCCGGGCTTGCGGAAGCTGTGTGAGCAGGCGCCTGAGCTGAAAGGTGAAGTTGTGCTGAAAGTCCGTGTGCCATCCTGCACAGGAGCAGCCAGCCCTCAATTGAACCTGCCGGATGCCATCGTGTGGATCAAACGCGGGCCGATATCTGGTGCCTACACTATAAAGATGTTATTCTTCAGGGTGCCCTGGTAGTCTACATGAGGACCAAAGGGAAGCCGCCAACTGCGGGAGGCAGCCGGCGCCTGTGACGTGCCCGCCCTGCGACACAAAGGTCTCAATCTCCCCGCGGGGCCGGCCGTCGCCTGCCAGGGGGGACCACACAAATGGCAGCTGTCAAAAGCTGAAGCATTCCGCCAAGTTCTGGGCCATGACGGCTTTGTGCCTTCCTCAACTCAAGGCCAATTGCGTTACGACCCTCATGGCATGATGCAATCTAACGCTACTCCTGGCAGCGACAACAAGTGTTGCAAGCATGGCAGAAAGCTTTGCAACAACAAGGTGGGACGCTTTGCCTAGGGTACGCAAACTTCTTCCACCCTCACCGAGCCTCACCATCCCTCGCCGTGAACAAATTTGGAAAATAGCAAAGCTGAGGCTGGACACGAGCTATCGCCTATAGCCAGTCGGGTTGCCCGAAATCCGTTGAGCCTCCATCTGGGCCCCAACAACGCCTTCTGTATCATGGCAAAGTTGCAAGGATCACGAAACTTTGATTAAATAAAAACGCTCCCTTGCCAACAAAAAGGACAACGCTGGTATACCTGGTGAATGCAACTCTGCTGGCAAGTGCTCGAGACTGCACAGGTCGCTCAAGCGCCTGAAGATTCGGAGGACCCAACTGGCGGGCAACGTGGACATAGTTTCTGGTATAAGACATCCCCCACACCAAAACAAATACTCAGTCATAGAACCCGTTTCACTAAGCTTTGCTTTTGGTACACACGACAGCGAACCTGCATTCATTGCACATCCAACACATTCACGACATTCAAACACTCCCATCCTTTGGCATATCCGATACCCCCTTGCTTGCCCAATGCCAGCGGTGCTCTCAGTGCTCCCCTCCTCTGCCACCCCGACAGTTGCCAAGGTCCCTCCAAAAAAAACAATCCAAGCCAAACAAAATCTATCAGGGTCAATTGTGGAAACCGCGTTTTCGGCCGGATTCCACCCTGGCAGCATGGCTTAACCACAGGAATCGCCGGAAGCCGCGCCTGGGTACATCCCAGCAAAAGCTGCGCCCAGGCCTTGGCATAGGCCTGGCACCAGTAGGTCCCTCGGCGAGTCAATGGCGCGAATGCGCCGCGCTGGCGAGCGAAAGGCGAAAAAACGGGGCTGGATGTTCAACCAACTTAGTAAGTGCCTTAGAACCTACTTGCCAGCGTAACTGGGTTCCGACCCCGGTACCACAGTACTTATAGCCTACTTACTGTGTGGATTGAACACACAAGTATGACCTTTAGGGATTTCTGGAGCGTTTCACTTCGAACTTGAGGAGTGTAGTACGAAGTCTTTAAGGGGTGGGTCCTGTCTGGGAAGGGATTCATCCACTTCAAGGGAAGCCGTGGGACAGTCAGTGGCTTCGCATCAAATAAATTGGAAGTGCACATTATTTGCAGTGGTCTGACTCATTTTCAGACAGCTCACAAACCAAAGGGCACAAATACTCAGACCCTTTTTGCTCCAACAACTTGGATTGCGCATTCGCACAAAGACATGCTCCATTCGTGTGACGGCCTCAAGGGTGTGAATTTGGGCTGGCCCGACCCTGCCAAGCCCAAGGGACCTGCAAATTCCCACTGGGCTCCCCAAGCCCAGTGCCTCTGGACTTGGAACAAGTTGGGCCAGGAGAAGGTTGGAGGTTGACAGGTTCTACCACCTGGAAAAAACCATCTTGACCATGGCTCCATTGGTTTTAAACTACCCCTGAGCCCCTAAAGTTACATAAACCCAGGCGCCCTTTGGGGATTTCCCCAACCCCAGGGTTTAAGCCAACCTTTGACTGAGAATGGACATGACCCCGTGGGGTTCAAGCCAACCCACCTCCATTTGCTTAAGGTCCTGGAAAACAATGATAAAATAGGTCCAGTAGTGAAAGATTCCAATGGAAGAGCATGACAAGCCTGTAGCATGAGGACATCTAGTGGTAACATGCTACTCTCGGCCAAATGGAGGCAGCACAAATGGAAGTAAATGGGCGTGTGTGTCATTTTTTGACAATCTTCAGGTTGGCTTCAAGGGAAGCAACAAGGAGCATCACACTTTGGGGGCGGGTCCTCTATTTTTCCAACTCAACCATCTTGCCTGGATTTCCCCTTCAAAAGTTGATCAGCCTGATGGCTTCCATTCAAACCATGGTCTGTCGGAGGTTCCCTTTAAATGGGGAATGGCTCGCAAACCCAGGTCTTGGAGGCCCCCAACCAGCCCCCACCCAACCAGCCCCCCCCCCACCACCAACCAACACTTAACCATTGGCCCCAACCTGCTTTCCGCTTTGGGGGCCCCGGCTCCAAGGCTTCCGGCGCTCGGAAGTAGAGCGCCGCCTTGGCTTCTGCCAGGCCCATGGCTGCCGCAGCGTCCACGGACACCGAGCGGACCTGAAATGGGCGAAGCCGTGCATTGAGCCACGCCGTGTTTGTTTCAAGCAAAAAACAGTGCGCTTTGTGTTTCTGTGTTCTTTCCTCATGGCCTTCCTTACGTTTCTCCTCTTGCTCTTTCTTTATTTCTATCTTTCTACCGTTCTGTCTTTCTTTTTCTTTCTTTCTCCCTTAAGGGTCAAACACGTCAGGAGAAACCAGACGAAGAAGAAGCACCTAGAGTGATGACAGGCTTGGACGTGTTGGCAGATACCGAAGAAACCACTCTCCCCTTGAAAGGCATGCACGTCCACCCCCCAGAGCTTCATCTGAGAAAGAGACCTGGGAACTGGTCCTTTTTCTTGCCGGGCTTTGAAGAAAACGGCCGCTGCCGTGCCGGGCTTTGAGCAAGAAGCCAAGAAGAAAAGAAAAACACTTTCCAGTGTTTTTTGGAGTGGCTAGAGGCCTTCCCGAGCCCCCGGCAGTACCCTGCTCGCCTTGGATGGCCCAACCCGCGATGGCGAAGTCAAATGCTCATGGGCAAAGCGGGGCCCAGGCAGGGATTTCAGGGCGGCCCTTTAAAGAGACCTGTGGCAACTTTGTGGCCGCGGCATTCCTGGACTTGGTCGCGACCCCAGTTGTGAAGGTGGTTTGCTTCAGCGCAACCTCATCCACGAAAGCACCAAAAAAGAAAGCAGTTAAGGCAATCCAGGTTTGGCCAGGAGCTTTCAAACTTGATGCTACCCGAGGCGCCTTTCAGCCAAGCATGCACCTGGCCCGTGCAAAACAACATTCGGCCGCGGCAGTTGCTCTCTCTCTCTCTCTCGCTCTCTCTCTCTCTCTCTCTCTCTCTCTCTCTCTCTCTCTCTCTCTATCCCTCGCTCTTTCCATGCAACACCGTCAGTCTACTGCAGCAATTCTTCTGCATGAGGCGCAAAGAAATTGCGCTGGAGCCGACCTCCACTGGCTCAGAGTAATAGTAACAACGGTCAGCTAGCAGCTAGACAATGATGTTTTAGCGTCGCCATCCTGGCCGCAAAGTAGCAGAAGGGCCGTCCCCACAATGCCCACTCCAAAGCACCGTGCTGAAGGGCATTCTGCCTGTCCCTGCCTTTTGTTTTTGGAGGGGACGCCAGGGCTCCTGATTGTTCGCAGTTGGAAACGCAGACCTGGACCTATGCCAACCAAAGGTGAGGAACTTCTTTTGCAGGCTCCTTCCCATGTTCGGATCTGGCATGGCACGTGCTCCGCGACCGAGTCCAAAAACAGGGGTCGAAACAAATGCTTGGCATCAGCTTGTTCCCTTTGAAGCAGCCCGCAGACCCAGAGCCAACAAGGCTAGGGGTCCCGTGGCTGTGGTCCTTTTGGCAACTTTCCTGGGGCCAGCGTGCACGCTTCCAAGAGGAAACCTGCTTTTCTTTTGGGCGCCTGTTCGCTGGGCGTCAGCTCTAGCATCTCCTCCAGCTGCAGCCCGCCGCAGGCTCGGCATAAAGGCGCCACGCGCCGCGCCGGGCCCTGCACCTAGAGCAACTAGCCCGTTGGATTTGGGGACTTCGGGCCGGCAACATGGTGACGCCATGTTCAACCCAGAGAGACAATGCGCCGATTTTGTCCGGACCCCCATTTTCACCGTTTGCCTTAAGAGCTCTTCGGAACACGGCGCTTTCCCAAAACGTCTCACACGCTCGGAGGATGAGTGTTCCCCCGCCCGACAGTGGTGTTTCGTGCAAGGTGCTGCCCCAGGACTCACAGGAGTCGTCCTGGGTGGCCCCCGGAATCAACGATGCCGCAGTCCTCCTAATTCAACTCTTCAAGCTTCTTAAGGTGCCCGCTCACGCTTCATCCCTCCATATTGCGCAGGCTGTTGCCTTTCTAAGATTCAAAGCGCACAAAGCCCCCCCAAAAAAAAACTACAAACCATTTTTCGAAAACAGCCGCAACAAGGATCCTAACTTCAAAAACACGCCTCCTTCTGTTGCCCTGTTGCCTCGCGGACTTTCAACAAGCACAAGCAAGATCGGGCAAGGATTGTTTGACCCGAGGCGCTGCCACCACTTTCTCCGCCCAGCACTCCGACAGGAAAGTGTCCAGGGGTATGGGGCACAAGATCCTTCGCCAGGCGTTCGCCCATCAAGCTGCTGTCCGAAGCACGCGGATCCCAGTGTTGATCTTATTCAGTCCTCCCCAAGCGTGTTTTGGTCCAGCGCGGAGCATGGAGTGTAATTCATCGGATTATGTTACCCATGAGTTTCCGTCAATTCATCTGATTTTACAGATTCAACCTGAATTGAGGGCTTTACAAGCAAGGAACCTTCATCATCGGTCAGCTGGTTTTGCCCCAAGGCAAGCTCCAGCTCACTACAAACCTGCGCCCCTGAGGTAACACACTCCCCCTCCCCCCCGCCGCCCCCTGTAACGAGCAAAACGTGTCACAAACACAAAGGCCCCCCCCCTTTCCATCTCTGCTTGAAAAGGATTAAACACGCCGCAACCTTCTGGCACCATACGTTAATACATTACGGGTGTCCCTTGATTTCCTCTTTGCGGCCAAAGCTTAAGGTTGCTTTGCGTGAGAAATCAAACTGATTCCATGTGTATTGGGGAGGGGGCCCTGCTTCTGCCATCAAAATGGGTGGCTTCCTTCTGGCTGCCCTACCAATCAAGAGTCTCAAACTTTGAGAACACCGCCACCCCTTTCGCACATCCACATGATTTCTCAACCATGGCAGTTATCCCGGAGAGAAAACAAAGAACCAAAGAACAAAAAGCAGACGCGAGTCTCGAACGCTGTGGGCACTTCAGAGCCAGCCAAACAAAGAAGCTCCCAAAAACAACCCTTGGAACCACGCCAGTATCATTCCAGGATGGAACTGTTGTTTGCTTTTCCTTGAGCAGTACATAGCAGTACACAGTGCTTCCATCTCGCTGTGTACGTAACCACCTGAACCCAGTCTTCTTCAAAAAAGCAAAGGGAAAATGACGAGTTCCCCTCATGGGTCACTGGGATCCACTGGCTTAGGCTTCTGCACAGGTCCCTCCCTGCCAGCGTGTCGGGCTCCGGGTCCTGCGCACCAACTCCTGGGGATCCAAGCCGGGGTCCAGCGCTTTGGCCTTCGGCGAAACCAGGCGCAGCACGCCTCCCAAAGCGCAGGAGCGTCCGTTTCCGACACAACTTGGCGCCGGCGTTCCCGGCGGTTTGCCGCTGATACCAAGCAAAAGGGGAAACCAACTCCCAACTAATACCGCCTGCAGTCCCCAAGGCGCTATTGTTTGAGGACTGCGGTTTTCCGGGCGGTTTCTTCGTGTGCCTCGAAGAGCCCCATGGATAAAATGACACATTTTTCCATTTGTGATAGCTTCCAAGGGAAAACATGTAATCAACAAATCTTCAGCAAATGGAAGGCTCGCCTCTGCACCAAAAGGGGAGGAGAAACCCGTCGTGTACTCTCACAGCCCGTTTTTCTCCCCCAAAGGGCATCAATGCCAAGCAGATTGGAGGAGGGCGTCCTTGAAAGCTGACGAGTCTTTGTGCAGCTAGGTGGCTGTCCCCGGGTGGCCTGCGCAGCTTGGCCGGACTTTGGAAGCCTCTGGCCCCTTGAAGCCACCTATTTAGCCAGACGAGTGAGCAAACGAAATCCATCAAAATCCAATCCTCACATGCTGTACTTATAAAACTCGGAGCTCACTTTGCTGTGGGTCAAAACCCCGCCCTCCCCCTTTTGACCCACATCCACTTGCGAACTATTGAAGTGCAAGCCTACAGACATCCCCAGGGCCCAAGGGCACAACTCCTGACATATCCACCCAATTAATCAAACGTGAGCTTAGCAATCCTGTCCCACTCTCGCTGTCAACTCTGGGTTCCCTCCATGGGATATGTCCCCATTCCGGTTGCCAGAGACAAGAGCCATTCCCCCGTCCGGAAACTTCAACCGCTTTCCGGGGGGTTGCCTCGCCCGCTTCCTTCCGCGCTCCGCCATTGGCAAACTCAGAGCTGAGAAGTCAGTCCAAATCGTATGGGTCTGTGCTTCTGTAAGGGAACCCCCTTGTCCTTTGGCTGGCTTTAAAGGAAAACCAAAAGGAAAACCAAAACGAAAACCAACATTTTGGGAGTCCCCTTCAAACATGACACGACCGGATAACCTTTGGCAACCTTGACTTTACGTGAACGGCCGATTCGCTTTGCGCAAGTGAGAATTTGTGGGCAACGAGCGACAAGTCAATTGCTATTGCCCATTCATTTGTTTCCTGTGGGAAGGATTTGCTTTTCTTGCAGTTGGGCTCTCCTTATGCATGGTTGTTGCTTCTCTCTCGCTCTGCCGTTGCATCCAGAGGGTCTCGACTCAGCAAGGCAACGAAAAAGGCGCCCACCGATGTTCAGGGGCACCTACAACATACTGGGACAACCCGGGCAAACATCAATTAGGATCTACAAGGATTCCGCCTCCAGGCATCCGGACATAATGAAACTTCAACGACAACGCGGTGCTTGGAGGCCCCAAACGTCGAATGGATTCAATCTCTGCCAGGTCTGTCGCGATCAAAGGAAGCATTTGTTCACACGTGTTGGGTTGGTGGCTTTGAAACATTGGGAAATCCAATCAGGTAGCCCTCTTTGAAACTTCTAGAGCATCGAGGTTTCATGGAACTGGATGAGTGCAACGTCTGGCGCTTACGAGACTTTGAGCCAAAAGCTGCACCAGCACAGTACCCGAAGCCTCCCTCAGTGTGAGGGAGCGCCTTGGCGGGCTCATCACGTTGCCCTTGTGTTGTTCATTTCTTTGTCGACCTCCACCCAAGGAAAACTCAAAGCAAAGCTAATCTTGTCTTGCCACCGTTGCACGACCAGCAGGAGACCCACTATAGCTCCAAAAAGGCGGTTTGCCGGCTTCCGAAGCGGCAGAATGCGGCATGTGTTTTGCTGCCTAGCGCAGGTCGCCACTTCCGCGTCCGAGGGAGGACTCACCTCGAGGCCTGCGAGCTGCGAGCTGTACAAGGGCCTCACAATCCTTGCGCTTCGGTCCAGGAAAGAACCTGAAGCTCCTTGGCTGGCAGAGGCAAAGCTGCGCGCAAGCTGCTCCGCCTCCTGAATGATAAGTTGCAAAACTTAAGAATTGGGCCCCAGAGTTAAGGAGCCTACGTCATGGATGTCATGGCTTTCACCCCCCTTTTTATCCCAAGCACCGGTGGACTCGCTGGGTGCGTCCGGAAAAAATGCAAAAATAACAATCCCCTTTTCGTTTCCTTTTGGGTGAAATGACCAGTAATTAATTGCGACGCTTGATTCATACCCCCCCCAAATAACAACCGTCCTCTTCCCCCCCTTTGCGATTGATAGCCAGGCATTATGGCTATTCAGCACTGTAGACACTAACCAAATCCCATCGGAGCTTGCGCCGCCGGCAGGGAGGTGTGCCTCGGAGGGGCTGCCAACCAACCAAACAACCAACCAACCAACCAACCATCCATCCACCAACCAACCAACAAACCAACCAACCACCCAACTAACCATCCAACCAACC